CTCCCGTCTTCTCATTCATTCATACGTATGAAACATTTACATTTGGATAAACAATCCTAATATAATTCCCATGTCGAGAATCTCATNCGACTTGACCGACCTAGGCGGGAAGTCGATACTGTCGCCACCTCGCGGCATTTTCTCTATAAGCTTATATAGCTATACAACACACCAACAATATATTTTTCTTTAATTAATGAATAACAATGCAAATAACGGTGCGAATGTTAACAAATGTTAACAAATAATTAATCTATCAACTTTTACATTGTTTTTGGGTGTCATTTACCCTTTTTTAACCCCGAAAATGACAACCGGGCTACTACGGGGCTATTTATTAGCCAGGGANAGGCTTACAATCGACAATTCACACCTCGAGCCGGGGGTAAATCCCCTCCCGTCTTCTCATTCATTCATACGTATGAAACATTTACATTTGGATAAACAATCCTAATATAATTCCCATGTCGAGAATCTCATAGGAGAATTGCATCTTGAATTCTAGAAAACTCGCAAGAGATACTGCGAGATGAAGTAACGAATATAACACGAATGAAGAATGGGCTACCGNTATCAACTTTTACATTGTTTTTGGGTGTCATTTACCCTTTTTTAACCCCGAAAATGACAACCGGGCTACTACGGGGCTATTTATTAGCCAGGGATACACTTCCTAATTACTTTGATAATTGTTCATTCAATTACAAAGTTATTAAATATCAAATTAATTAGTTATTCCGACAATTAATTATTTCNGTGTCTTTTAGAGGCACAAAAAAATGTATCTAAACAAGAGTATACATCAAGAATTGTATTAATATCCGTGGATTGACTACAGTGGAATCCAATCCATTAATATCTATCCATCTCATTACAGAATTACTCGAGTAATTCTAGATCTAGATGAAATATATACATTTCTGAAGCAATGTCTACCCGAAGAGCAACCAAAGGGAATTGATGAAGAACAACGTATCAGTTTGCGGGACAATGTAACAAGTGAGTTAGAATTTAACTGTTAAATAATATTGNCTTCCGAATGAATTGTGCGATCAAGATGATCGATAACACAATCGGAAGGTCTTCATGTAATTTAGACCTGATTTCATTTTGAAGTGAATCCCTCTAGTGGTTTTCNATAGAGCATTTTGAAAATTATCAATTTCTACAGGAGAAATGTTTAAGCGAACATCAAAAATGGAATTTAAATCCTTGTCTCCAGAAAAGGATGAAGAATACGGAGGTAACAACAGAGAAACATACTTTATAAAAATCACGTATTTAAATAAAATGGTCATGTTCAACAATGATTCTCCTTTTTCAGTTAAGCGTAAATGTCAACGTAGAAGGAGGAGGACAACGACGTGAAACGAGTTTGTTTGGCGACAGCATTTGAGTGTAGATGTGTTCCTGCGAGACGTGTCAACGCTTCTTTTCCCGTCAATACATGATTAATTCATACATCATTAATTCTGTTCCATTGTTTATTACAAAAAAACAACAGTTTTTTTCAATCATTGAAGTGATAATTAAATATAAATTTATATCGATCACAAAAGTGATCATGACTCATTTTTCTTCATTAATTACTTGATAATGAGCAATAATTAGATGATTTTTTTGCCCAAGTCCATTTTTCTGTAAGCCTATAATTTGAGTTAATGAGGCAATCAATTATGTAGTTGGTTCATATTAGCCCAAGGCTCAGTTTTTACCTAAGAGTTCAGGTGGTACAGCAAAGAGGATTGACTGAAGTAGAGGCTCAGATCTCGGGGTTGAAGTGACCCCCAGCCAAAAATAGTTCGACCCCAACGGAGGGACGGCGCCACGGTCGAATCTGACGGCTGGGCGAACTGCCTCTGCGGGTAACAAAGAGGATAGACCTGAGTAGAGGCCCGGATCGGGGGGTTTGACTGACTCCAAAAAAGTTAGTTGGTACCCCACGGGAAAGGCGGCGTCCCGGTCGAATTGTCGGTAAATGTGAGTCGGGTGCGTGAGCAACTCGGCAGTAGGGCTTGGGTACAGTCATCCGAAAAACAAATTCCAAGGCGCGTGGTAAATCTCCGAAACGTAAAGTCACTGAGTGGTAAAAATATCCGAATATTGTATAGTAAGTGTTGATTGTGCCAAGGCATTTGAATTGGATGAACACTATAGTGGATGAATGGTGAATTGCACAGGGGAGAGGGAAAATGGGTTTCCAAAGGAATAAGAATATGAAAATAACTGTTTGGTTTTTCAGATGAACTGACGAATAGACCGTTCCATAAAATCCCCGACAAGCAGATATCTTGGAGAGTGTAGACATGGAGCTGATTATTGTAAGAGTTTATCATTATTGGACTTTCGAAAAACATCCCAGTAAACAGTGATCCGAAAGTTTGCCATAAAGAAGGCTATTTTGCCGATAAATTGCGGCAAATAGTCGAGTTTTGCTGTCTGGGATGTGAATTGATTTCCTNGCCAAGGCATTTGAATTGGATGAACACTATAGTGGATGAATGGTGAATTGCACAGGGGAGAGGGAAAATGGGTTTCCAAAGGAATAAGAATATGAAAATAACTGTTTGGTTTTTCAGATGAACTGACGAATAGACCGTTCCATAAAATCCCCGACAAGCAGATATCTTGGAGAGTGTAGACATGGAGCTGATTATTGTAAGAGTTTATCATTATTGGACTTTCGAAAAACATGTGAATTGATTTCCTACTGTAAAGACGAAAAAAGATGCAATAAAATCCACGAATGAAAATACAGGAGCAATTAATTTATTACGCAATGACCTATTATCTGCTCAGCACATTTCAAGACCTTAAAATCAGCTGTCTTAATAATCGCCAGAAATATTGCCCAGTAAGAGATTCTTAGCCACGGACTCCACATAGGTTTGCATCACTTTTTCCCAAAATGACGAATTATTGGAGTGTAATATTACATTGAGTGTCTAAACCAAGAAAGGGGTATTGGATGAATTCCAGAAACTGAAAACTCTTATTTGTTCGACTCCACAAATTCATTGCACATAAGAATATTGGAA